ACCTGGGGATCCCCCGGAGTTACAGCTCACCTCCAGACTACAGAGATTGGTTCTCCGGCAGAAAATGGATGCTTTGGAGGGTATACCCTGCTGAGGTCCCTGTCCTCCCTAGGCTCCATCATCAAATCTCCAGGAGCTTCCCCACCTGGGTCTGGCAACCCTGCCCCCTCCACCCATTGCCGGTGGTCAGGGAGGGCCTAGCAACCCTACTTCAGCCCTATCATTTGGCCTCTGGTCCTGAACTGGGCATCCTCCTTTTGGAGGGTTATCCTCCACCCCCCCCACCCCTACTTGCTGGTATTAGTGGTTCTTTCTAGGCAAGCAGCAGCCTCCAGCCATTTTGCTGGATGTGGGGAAATGATGTGGTGGTTGCTTAGCAACTACAGGATGCAATGCATGTCTTAATTCCTGGAGCTTGTAAAATGAACCAAAACCTTCTAAAGGGGATTTATTGGGGGGAGGGGAACGACACCTTGGACTGAAGAGCCACAATGAAATCACAGTGAAAAAGTCACTTTTGCATAGACATTGGCGTGAAAACTGTGCGAGCATACCCAGAACTGATTATCCTACATTCCCCTGGTTTGCACACAGCAAATTACATGCATGTGGGGTCATCATGTACTTTTACCCACATACAGCATAAGAACATAAGAGACGCCAATGTTGGATCAGGCCAAAGGCCCATCCCATCCAACACTCTGTGTCACACAGTGGCCAGAAATACCAGTGCCATCAGGAGGTCCACCAGTGGGGCCAGGACATTAGAAGCCCTCCCACTGTTGACCCCCCCAAGCACCAAGAAGACAGAGCATCACTTGCCCCAGAGCCCCTATCTATACCTTGTGGCTAATAGCCACTGATGGACCTCTGCTCCATATGCCTATCTAATTCCCTTTTGAAGCCGTCCATGCTTGTAGCCGCCACCACTTCCTGTGGCAGTGAATTCCGTGTGTTAATCACTCTTTGGGTGAAGAAGTACTTCCTTTTATCTGTTCTAACCCGACCGCTCAGCAGTTTCATGGAGTGCCCACGAGTTCTTGTATTGTGAGAAAGGGAGAAAAGTACCTCTTTCTCTACCTGCTCTTTCCCATGCATAATCTTATAAACCTCGATCATGTCACCCCTCAGTCGTCGTTTCTCGAAGCTAAAGAGCCCTAAGCGCTTTAACCTTTCCTCATAGGGAAAGTGTTCCAACCCTTTTATCATTCGAGTTGCCCTTTTCTGCACAATCAAAGAGCTTCCTAAAGAGAAGCGAGAATTTTGGCATATCACAGCTTCTATTTTTAAAAAGAAATTCAACAGTATTGTATATTTTATATTGGTCGGAAAGGGACCTATTTTATGGAACAGGGCACTTCCGGTTAAGATATGCTGAGCTTTCTGAAGACGGTTTCCTCTTGGTTAGCGTGCATTTGTTGGTGCCCTCCACACTGTACTCTTGGCCTCTGCTGCAAGAAATGCAGTGTGCGGGGGGGGGGGAGGCTGTGCTCAGGAACATCACTGGTTGTGACATTCTTGGGGGACAACTTGCTGCTCATCAGTGTCAGCCACATCCATTGGATACCACCAAATGGCTACCTTGGGAAGAAAGACACTGGGAGAAGCAGTACTAAAAGAGAAAGGCCCTAGAAACTGGCTAGACCGGCCTTGGAAAAAGGAGGGCTTAGGCTACGTACTTTTTCAGAACTGCTAGAGGTGACCATAACTTCCTGGATCAGACCCCAAGTCCATCCTCCATGGCTCTGACTAACCATCTGTGCTGCATCTGAGCCTTACCTTGGTGCAGTTAGATCTGTGCTGCTGCTGGCTAAACAGCAGCTAAGACATTTGACCAAGGGCTCAAGTGGTTAAGACGCTGAACTGCAGGCTATGGAAGGTCAGTAGTTCAGCAGTTCAAGACCCGAGTTGCCGCATGACGGAGTGAGCTCCCGTCTCTAGTTTGAAAGCAAGGAATTGCAAGTAGATAAATAGGTACCACTTCGGTGGGAGGGTAACAGCGTTCCGTGCACCTTGGTGTTTAGTCATGCCGGCCACATGACCACGGAAACGTCTTCGGACAGCGCTGGCTCTTCGGCTTTGAAACGGAGATGAGCACCGCAACCCTAGAGTCGGACTCGACTGGCTTTCGAGCAAGGGAACCTTTACCTTTATTCAACAAGCACCAGGCTCCGTCCTGAGTGCAGAATTCAGCATCCTGAGACAGTCTCTCTCTCTCTCTCTCTCTTAAATCAGGTGTCTCATCCTTGGGGCTGAGAAGACAGAGCAATGCTTGGTGAGAATTCAGGATCTAGTAGGGGAGGCTAAACAGGGACACAAGGGGGAAGAGCCCCCTAGCGAGTAGAGTACATTTGCTAAGCCGGCACATGGAGGTTTTCTCAGTGCCAGATAATTTGGGCAGATTGCAGAACCCACTTTTTAATGTGGTTTCGAGATTTTCGTTTTATTCACCTTTAGCAGTTTTGGCTAAGCAATGAGTCCTCATTCCCTGAAACAGTCACCTTCCCCTTACAAGCTGTGGTGCTGCCTTCTTGTTGCATTATGGCCATTCTGCTTTATTTGCTGCCAGGTTAAGAGCATCTCTCCAAATTGGAATGATGCCATTTTTAGCAAAGGGATCGTTCAGGCATGGCCCTCCATCCAAGAAACAAGGCATTTTCATACCAGCTCCCTATCCCCCACTGAAGCAATGGGGCTGACCATGAGATCTCCCCAGGAGCCCCTCTGGCTGGAAGTGATTTGGGGGATCAAGCATTGCTCCCTACAGATTCTGGAGATAGTCCTATGAAGCTGCCTCATACTGAATCAGACCACTGGTCCATCAAAGTCAGTGTTGTCTCCTCAGACTGGCAGCAGCTCTCCAGGGTCTCAGGCTGAGGCCTTTCATATTACCTGATTTTTTTAACTGGAGATGCCGGGGATTGGACCTGGGACCTTCTGCATGCAAAGCAGATGCTCTGCCACTGAGCCACAGCCCCTCCCCACTAGTCCAAGGCAGGCCCCTATTGCACCTCTGCACAGTCAACAGAGGGAAGTCCCTCCCTTAAAGCAATGTACACCATTGGTCAATGTATCCCAGTATTGTCTACCCTGACTGGCAGCACTACCTGAGATAGCTTAAATTTGAAGTGCCAGAGACTGAACCTGGGACCTTATGCGTGCAAAACAGGTACTCTGTAAATGTACAAGTGCCCTTCCCCCAATCTCCTTCCCACTGCTCTGCTACCCCCTTAAGAACCAGACAAGACGGCAGATGGTTAAAAATACCCCCTCCATTTTATTTGGAACTCTTTACTCTGTGCAGGTGATTGACAGGGCTTAAATACATTCTCAGCCAGAAACTCTCATCTTCCGTCCTTACTTTTGCTAGGTAGGATAGTGCCCTCTACAGGAGGGCTGCAGCAGAGACAGGGTGGGGGGACATCATAGTGCAGAAGGGTCCACCACAACCCCTTCTGAATACTTGGGCTGTGGGGCAGAAGCTATAAGGCTTCTGAACAAGCCACAGTGAATCCTTTTGGCTCTTCCCCCACACGCACCCAGAGCTGCCTCTCCTGGGGGGCCCAGAGATCCGATTTCTGCTTCTCCAACTGGAGAGACCACCTCCTGGAAACCAATTCACATGTTCTGGGTGTGTCTCATGAGACTCCAGCCTCGCTGTTTATCCACTGCAGTCTGATACAAACCAGGCCCGATTCCCACCCATGCAGAGCTCTGCCGCAAGACTGTGACCTCTGCCACCTTCCTTGAATTCCACCCCGTACCGAGCCTGACCTCTGGTCATCGGGCTGCCTGTCATTCAAAGACTAAGAGCCATCTCTACATTTCTTCTGTAACACAACTTACAGCCCCCTCAATGCCTTGCAATGGATAAGGCCGCCCCCTAAAGGAATGGCTTTGGCCCAAGGACCTCCTGGCCAGCTGTGTGGAAGCAGAGCCCCTCTGCTCGATGTCTCAAGCCCCATTGCATCCACCCTGTGTCACACAGGCCTCCTCCAGGGTTTCTCCTCATCTCCACATGGGCCACACCCAGGTACAACGAAGAGACTGCAGCACAATGCCATCAGAAAAGAGGAGGAGGACATGGGAGGCAGCCAACTGGAGGTCAGAGTAAGTCACGGGCTGGCAAGGAAGCAGGAGAGGATCAGGCTGGCAGGGGAGGCCTTGGACAACCTGTGACAGGATGGAGATTTGGCACAGCGAGTGGCGAGGGGGGTGGGGGTAGCGTGGCCAGAGCGATGGGGACATTGGCAGAAGGGAGGAAGGGGTCCAGCTCGTCCTCAGATCCAGGTTGCTTGGGCGAGACATACAGATATGAATGGTGGCAGAAGGGCGTATCAAAAATACAAAAGGATCCTGTGGCCGGCTCTGGCCTGCCGCCCACCCCGAGCGAAGTCTGCTGGTTTCTCGGTTTGGCACAGGTCGATGCTGGAGGGGCCCGCAGCACAGACGTGGCTGGCGCGTGTGTGTGTGTGTGCGCGCACGTGTGTGTGTGTGTCTGTCTCACTGGCTTTATCAAGAACACTTAGTTTAAAATCTTTACAAAGGACCAAACACGGGCATCTCCGTTAGTGTTTAAAGAACTAAAGATCTGCTTTAAAAAATCTCTTTTGGAAAGAAACAACAGACAGAAATTTTCTCAGCAACACGAAGAGCGGGGGTGGGGGTAGGGGTGGGGTGGGGGGAGAGTAGGGGACCAGACAGCATCTGCCGGACCCAGCACCAAGTCCAGGCTCTCCAGAACCCTTCACCAGTACCTTGGGGGGCGGGGCCAGACCACACCTGTCCGGGGCTCCCCAGGCACGGTGCCAGCAGTTCCCAGCAGCCGTCCCTCATGGCGACTCGGCCCTGCAAGAGCAGTTTCCATGGCACTTTGATTGGTAAATCTCTAGTGGTGATGAGAGAATGACAGGTGGGTGACGGCTTGGATGGTGCCTGTCAGAGCCCCTGTCCCCAAGCAGGGTTAACATGGCTCCAGAAGGCCCCACGGGAGCCTCCTTCAGGACAGAAAGCCCCAAAGGCTCCGGATCTCCTTCTGTGCAGGGTGTGTGGCTGGACTCAGGAGCCAAGGGTGGGGTGACTCTCGCCCTTGCTGGGCTGTCCTCCATTGGGCCAGGATGGGTCCCGCTGCCCCTGCTGGGCACGAGGAGAGTCAAAGCACTTGATACAAATGAAATCCCCAAAGAGCGAGCCGGAGGAGCTGGCCATGTCCGCCCCCCGCCACGCCAGGTCCAGTGAGCGTGGGGGATGTGCATGGGAGTGCGGGGCACTTGGGCGGCTATACCCGCGTTGTGGAGTGTGAGTGTGGGAGCCCCGTATTGCTGAAGCTGGCAGCAAAGGTGTTGTAAGGGTGCAGGGTCTGCAGGCCCACCAGGGAGTTGGGGATCATGGTGATCGTGTTGGGCGTCATGAGCGGGATGTCGTCCGGAGAACGGCGTAGAGTGAGCGTGTAGTCCGGCAAGGCGGTGAGACGGAGGGCATCGTGGGGTGGCACGGCCTCACAGTCCCCGTGGTGAGTCTGGTTAGCCTGCAGCGAGGGCATCTCCTCCTCCGGCGTGTGGCCAATGTCATTATTGGTGGTGGCGCGCTGTGGGCTGGGCTGGCGGTGGGTGTCCTGTCGCCGTTTGTCCTTGCGGTAGTAGAGCGCGGCAAAGGCCAGAACGTTGAGGAAGAGAAGCGAGGCCCCCACCGCGATGGTGACGCTCAGCTCGGTGGAATAGTCACGGGGGTTCTCGACCAGCAGCGTGCCTGCCCCGTCCTGCTCCGGATTCCACTTCTCCTGGGAACCCTCACTGGTGTAGGCGGTGGAGATGGCCGGCCGCTTGGTGCTCCAAGTCTTGCCATTGGGCCGACGCGTGATGTGCGAGTTCTGGGTGGTGTCGGGCGGCGGCACCTTGGTGGTGGTCGATGTGTAATGGAACATGTCGTGCAGGTTGTACAAGTGTGGGACCAGGTGTTTCCAGAAGGCGACCTTGGTGGCCCGGTAGTGGTCACGCACTCGTGGCTTGAGGCCAATGTGCAAGTAGAGCTGGTCACGGGGATTATATTTGGACCAAGCCACCTCTTCAAAGCGGTTGGCCTTTGTATGGATGAATTTGGTGTCTTGGGGCACTGGCTTGTTTGGGTCCCTGAAGGAAAGAGAAACAGAGAAAAGAAACCATATGCAGCAGTGTCTGATGGCCAGTGTGGTGATGTGGTTAGATGGTTAGACTAGGATCTGGGAGACCCCGGTTTGAATCCCCACTCTGCCATGGAAGCTTGCTGGGTTGCCTTGGGCCAGTCATGCACTCCCAGCCTCGCCTATCTCAAAAGGCGGTCGAGAGGCTAAATAAAGGAGTGGGGAATGATATCAGCCCCTTCGAGTCCCCATCGGGAGGAAGGTGGTAAGTGAAAGCAATATAAAGCCGATGTAGTCCTCCGGAGGGAAGAAGGCCAACGCCCAGGCCATCAAAATCCCAAAGGAAAGGCACATGTACAAGCTGTGCCCATTCAAGGGAACTGTAAGCAAAACAGATGCCCATAATGCCATTTCTTCCCCCCTGCAGCATGTGTGGCTTTCCAAACAAACTTGTGACTATAGCTAATTTGAATCCCAGGCTGAATTACCTACTGGATATCCACAAGTCTAGTTCCGGGAACAGACACGGATGCCTGTGTGATCTCTCAAAGCATACCTTATTTTAACCCTCAAAGTTATGTCACCAGAGGTCGGCAGACAACAACCTGTTGGTGATCCCCAGCCCTAAGGATGTCTGGCTGTCCTCAGTTAGGGACAAGGCCTTCTCGGTCCTGGCCCCGACCTGGTGGGACTCTCTGCGGAATAACATCCGGGCCCTGCAGGATCTGATGCAATTCCACAGGGCCTGTAAAGCAGAGATGTTCCAGCAGGCTTTTACTTGAGGGCAGCAGTGGGAGATTGAGACTGACACCCTCTTCCTTCCTTCCTTCCTTCCTTCTCCCTCCCTCCCTCCGCCCCACACACCCTCCTTTACCCTGCCATGTGGGACAATGTTGTGCCCAGCAAAGGAGGAATTGTATTGCAGTCTTGGATCAGTTTAATTTACTGTTCTGTTGGTGTTTTTAATTATGCATTAATGGTCTTTTAAAATGTTTTACAAGATTGCAAGTCGCCCAGAGCCTGCTTGCAGGGTGGGCGATTCATAAGACCAATAAAATCAAAATAAATAAAAGTGGCTTTTCTGCGACAGCAATGCTCTCTATAGCATCAGCCAATCATTGCATATGCACAAAGGGAGGACGTTCAGTTTTGCTGTAGCCCACCTCTTGAAAGAGACTAGGCTAGATGTGTGCTTCTGCACAGGAGCTGGCAGTGGGGAGCCGCTGGAGTGCACAGCCTGTACATCGTTAAAAAAACCCCTTGTTGTTCCAACTCCTCCCTCTTCCTTTGCTTACTTTCTGGCAAGTGCAGCCATCTGGAGGAGGAGGGTCAGCATCCCCAGCTGTACAGCACCCCCCTACGCAGTAGTCTAGACGGTCAGAATACAGAAGAGCTGGAGGAAGGGAACCTACCCCGTCTTGGCAAAGTTAGTCCAGTAGGTCATGACCACGGCACTCAGCATGACGTCATTCTTGGAGAAGTTGCAGGGGAAGAGGTCGGTGGGGCCAATCATGGGAATCCCAAAGACGTAAGGCACCTCATCCCCATGGGCAGCATCAGACCAGGCCGGCTTCATGATGCTCTGGCAGTGGTGATAAAAGGCGTAGAAGTAAGTGGGGGAGCCATAGCGGGCATGGAGATCAGCAGTCACCACTGATGGTTCCACCCACTGGTGGTCAGTGAAGAGAGCCACCAGTGTCTTGCGGCGTGTCTCGGGGTTGTCCCGGTCAGCCCAGTCAGTGTACATGAACTTGATGGTTTCGCGCAGAGTGTCTTTGCCCTCAGGGTAGCCATACAGGTTGTCCACAAAGTTGGAAACGGAGTAGTCAAAATCGCTGCCTGAGACCCCGTTCTCTTGGTCTACGACTGACTCCACAAACTTGAGGCCCTCGCCCTGGTTAACACCCAGCATGATGTCATAGTTGAGAAACTCGCCTTGCTCCATCAGGATCTCTGGGTCGTCGGGGATGACGTCCCCATCGATGACGGGCCCAAAGGCCACATGGTAGCGCGCTGGCTGGATGTCCTGCTCCACGAGTTCCTTGGCGCTCTTCTTCCGCAAGCAGTCCACCATGTCCACCGTGTCCAGGACGTTGCAGCCCACCTTGTCGGCCAACATGCTGGTGTATTTGACAGGTTGGTAGTTCACGGCCCAGCTGGACAGTGCTGAGCCGCTCTGAATAATGGCTCGCTGGAAAAGGCCTGCAGGGGAAACACAGGGAAACGCCAGACATGAACAGTCCATCAAGCTGAGTCTAAGGAGCTCTCCCACAGACAAAGGAAACCGGTAAGACACCTCATTTTCTTACCCATCAATCTTCGCCTCTGTAAAAAAAAAAAGTTAAGATATACAGAGTAGGCTGCCTGCAGACTTGTCTTGCCTGTGACATTTCTGAGAACCCAGGAGAGCCCCCCTCCTTCTGGTAAAGCATCCCACTAACTCACCAGGAGAGGGGAAGAAGGGGGGCGGCACGGGAGAGCTAGACTGCCCCCTCTTAGCAGAATCAGGCCAGTCTCGCCTTTGTTCCGGGCCTGGCTGGAGGCAGTGCATTCTGGGCCTGTGGCATTAGCATAAGCCTGCTCCAGTGTCCATTAATCCATCGCCAGCAGCTCCTATGCTCTGGCAGAGCTGAGTCCCATTCCCACCCAACCACCTGCCGCTGTGAACAATCCGATGAGGGACGGCTGGCACAGGCCTACCACTTTCATGCAAGGCTGCTGGAGTCTGGCGGCGAAGGGGTTAAGCCTGTGCCACTTAACCCTGCAGATTCCAGTTAGCACAGTCCTTACTTCCTGCCCAGCTGGGCCCCTGTTCTGTGCCAATGCGGGCTCGGAGAGCAACACATTCCCCAGTGGCACAAAGGAGCCTTTTTGCTGGAGGGAACATGAGAGGCAGGGGACGCTGGGTCTAGGAAGCGGGCCCACAAAGGCCTTGGGGCTGGCAGAGGAATGCTGGGCCCTGGGCCAAGGCCTCTTCCAGGCAGCTTGTCCTTGGAATACAAAAAGGCCCCAGGAAACGCAGCCTCTGCAGCTGAGACAGGGGGAAGGGGGCAGGGGGCACTGTTCCCCCAGCAGCAAAAGGCCCAGGATCTTGGCCTCCGCTCTCTGCACAGGGGCCTTTGCACATGCAGAGAATCACGGCCATTCCGACTCACCCCACCACCCCAAGTGAAGAGGGAGAACCAGCTACTCTTTTGCAAGCAGGCACGGAAGGAATATCTATTTTTAGTTGCTTTCTGCAAAAAAAAAAACCCAAACCCAAACCCATCCAGCTGTGTCTTCGCTTAATGTTAACAGGTTCCCACCTATGTTCCTCTAGTTCACTTGTGAAAAGTGATGTGTATTTGGAGGGGGGGATAAGTCAAAAGGATTGCTGCTTTCTCAGGACCCCTTCACTGAGTCTCAGGGTATGCCTGAATCAGGCAGTTCTAAGTAGGGTTATGCATCTGAAAAATGTAGCCAGTACTTTCTGAGGTCCATCACGGCACATCCTAGCAAGTGCGGCGTACAGTGGCCAAACTGGGCACCAGAAATGATCCTGTTTCAGCTCTTGTCTCAGCCACACACTCACTTAAGCAAGGCATTTTCTCAGCCCCCCAACTTCAGTGTAGAGTTAATACTGCCAAACTATTTTACAGCGCTTGCTGTAAAAACTACAAGATGACAACTACGTAAAGTGCTCTGAGCACAAACAGCACCCGTGCATGTGGCACATTCTCCTCCTAGTCTGGGTTTCTTGGTGTGCAAAGTTAGCACCTCCTGAAGCAAGGGGCTCAGTAGTGAAGAGAAGGAGCAGTGACCTGTGGAAGACCCTTGTTCCAATCTAAACTTAGCAAGGAATTTAATGGGTGGTCTTCTCCCTCATCCTCTGCTCTCCTTTCAGTATGGGAACGAAGGTTTACAGAGCTCTGGTAAAAATGACCAGTGCGTACATGTCGTGTTTTAAACATTCAGAAGCCACTATATACACACAGAATACATACCTGAAGTGCTACTTTATTATTCCGCATTCATATTCCCTGCCATGTCTTATTCCTGCCCAACGCCCAGTTGCTCATTTGAGCTGCCTGCACAAAAACTGACCTCTTGCCTGTTCCTCCTGCCTAGCCCCTGGTCCAAATGCCCCTGCTTCAGCCACTTGCCCATTGCACCTTCTTCAGCAGCTGACCCGTCACAAATTGATACCCTTCCTAGTGGCCATGCCCCTGCAGGAAGTCAGCAGGATCCACCTAGACCATGATAGGTGACCAACAGGCATATATAGCACGTGTCCACTATGGCACTAAGTGTCGAGAGCCAAAATAGGTTGTCTTTGTCCCATATCTTGGAAGTGCCAAGAGAACAGGGCCACCTGCCCATCTAATAGTTGCCAGTCATGTATTATATGGTTCATTAGTGTTAACAGCAGAGAACGGCACAAGCATTCCACCCCCTCTCCCCCACTTTCTTGCTTACCCACCCATTCCTAAGGTACGGGATGCATCCCCTTTCTTGGTGCTTATTTGCTGTGACTCATCTTGGGCCTTTGCCTGGCTGGATTCAGTCCTGACATCATTGTGCCATTCCTGTCTGCACATCTTTAGTCACACATAACGGCACTCCATTTCCTGTAAACTTGCCCTTTCATTTTCAGGCTGTTAAAAATCTCCTTGTACAACCACCAGGGCCTCGTGGGATTCTTCTGGATTGTCCTTTCTGTCTCCGGATCCCCTCCCCTGCTTTGTTTTTCTGTGCATAAGACCCAATTCACCAGTTCACTGAAAGATGTTCTAGGGAAGCCCTTGCTCCTAACAGCACAGTCATGGGAAACTACAGAACAACATGCTTTGTTGTGAAATTCAGCACTGCAATTTTACCTTCTCCTGTGTACACTGGCTTCACTGGAGTGACATTTGTGCTTCCCAATTTTGTTTCGATTGTTTTGACTTTCATATTCAGTACAAGGCTTTTGGGGGGTTGTATGTTTTGCTGTCATTGCAAAAAGCACACATTCCAAAATGATCTCATGGCCACCAAGTTGTCCAGCTCTCTGTCAGATGCAGAATCCTACCAAAAAGTTATGCTTGCCCAGAGACAGCTGCACCTTCACTGCGCTGGTGGATACTCTTGAATTCACCAATGTAGTCTGGTCTACCTTTTGATGGGGGGGGGGGGGTGGGGGGAAGCGTACAACTATACTAATCCAGCCAAACGCTTCTCTAAGCTGCTGCTAAAAGCCTTCAAGGGTAAAATTTCCTTATGCCCCTTGGTAGTCTTCCCCAGTGCTTTTCTTTGCTTATGTTTGGGAAATGCTTCCCAAGGTCCAGTCTGTAATGTAGTCGGCTAGCGCAACACAGTTTGCTGCACAGAAAAACTGCAGTAGTCCCAACTTGCTGCTTCCACTGAGCCCACAGAGACAACCATGCTTGCACACAGAGGACCATGTACTGGCAGCTGCTGCACAGTGAAATTGAAATTCTCCTTACTGCTCTGTAGGATGAGACATATAAGCAGGCTAAAGGTAAAGGTAAAGGTTCCCTCGCTCGAAAGCCAGTCGAATACGACTCTAGGGTTGCGGTGCTCATCTCTGTTTCAAAGCCGAAGAGCCAGCGCTGTCCGAAGACGTTTCCGTGGTCATGTGGCCGGCATGACTAAACACCAAGGCGCACGGAACACTGTTACCTTCCCACCAAAGCGGTACCTATTTATCTACTTGCAATTTCTTGCTTTCGAACTGCTAGGATGGCAGGAGCTGGAACGAGAGACGGGAGCTCACTCCGTCATGCGGCGCACTCGGGTCTCGAACTGCTGAACTACCGACCTTCCACAACCTGCAGTTCAGCGTCTTACCCACTTGAGCCACCGCAGCTCCTATAAGCAGGCTACCCCAGGATAATTTGATTGCCTGTGCAAGCTCTCTGTTCACATCCTACCAAGTGGTAAGGGGAAACACGCAGACGTGTTAAAATGGTCTGTATCTTCCCCTCCCCCACAACCTTTACTCCTTTCCCACAATAGGTGGTTGTTTTAGTTCTTGATGTAGCTATTTGGTATTTTCGTGACTGGCTTATTTTGCTTCACTGCTCACTGGGACCCTTGTCCCAAACAGGCTCAAATCTGCACCCTCCAGCCTCCTTAGTCTTTGCAATGGTCAATCAAAGCTGTTTTTGCTGGGACAACATCAGAAGCCGGGGTCTCTCTTTTAATGTAGAGTGGCCGAGGAAAGCATTCCAGCTCCGCTATTTTTATTCCATCCCCCTCTCCAAGGGCATCCCCAGGCTATTAACAAACCCACAGCGGGCCACCTTCTCCCCGGGCGTCTTCTCCTCCACCGCCTGGCCCAGAGGGTCTGCATATCTCCCCTGCCTCTGGGGGCTGCCACATGGCATGCATCTTCCTGCCAGGCTCATTATCAAGCAAACAAAGGCGTGATCCCCATCTTGAGCAACAAGCTTTTTTCCTTCTTTAATAGGCTGCACAACAGAATGAGCAGAGTCCCTCCACCTGCACACTGATTAACAAGCATCCGTAGGGCAGCTCTGGGGCCAGGCCTCCACTCTGCAGGCAGGAGTGCACTTGAAGCTTTAGCGCATTAGAACAATGGAGAGAGAGGACGCAGTCCCGGATGCAGTGTCTGAGCTCCCACCTTTCAGCACACAAATGCACCACCCCCTCCCCAAGCATTCTAGATGATCCTTGATTAATATAGCCATCTGCCCTTGCTGCACACTCATCTCATTAATTCAGCTTCCATTTATATATTCCACCAACACACACAGACACACATACCTCCGAAGATCCCCAGTAGCGAGAGACACATTCTTGGGTACAGAAACAAGAATGTGCGCTCCCACTTGCAAGCCTTCTGTCAAATGGAAGACAGAGGAATGTATAAGGCTGCCTAGCACTGAGTCAACCCATCGGTCGAGCTGGCCCAGCACTGTGACTGGCAGCTGCTCCCCAGCAGAGGAAGGCCTCTTTCAGCCAAGCTACCCAAGAGCCTCTTAATGGGGATGGATTGAACCCAGGTCCTCATGCATTCAAGGAAGCTGTAGCAGTTTCACGATGATTTCACCATTACTCCCTCGAATGGCCACCTTCACTGGACAAGGGCGTTACATGAAGGTTAGCACAAGGGACCACTCGCAGGCAAAGGTGGGGTCTCTCCAAGCATGCAGGGGGGGAATCATTTTGCAGATTTAAGAAGCTCCCCCTCCATCCTTCACTAGCTTGATGAGGACCAAGCAAGTTCATTATCCTTGAAATTTTGGAAACAGCTGGGAGTCAGTTAAAGGAAAGACCGGTGTGTGTGTGTTTGTGTGTGTGTGTGTGTGAAGCAGAGGGAGAAGGGGAAACTGGTTTGTTCAAGCTATTGAGAGCATATAATATCCCAGAGAAGGAGGTTTGGGGAGGGGAGGGGAGGGGAGGGGAGGTTTCCCAATGTTTTATCTCCCTACAATATCTCGCAGGTCCCCAACTTGTATGGTCTACTGCTAAGCCCTGGACTCTGCCCATAAAAACCTCCTCTCCCATGGCCCGTGTTTCATACATAGTAATGATCATCATCTTGCACCCTATTTTCTTATCTTCAGTCACAAACCGTTCGAGTCATTTCAGGAAAGCATACAGTCACCCAGGGCAATGAGAATGGAGGGGAGTCTTGCTGGCGAGGGGAAAGGCAGGAGTCTTTCGCTCTATTTCCCTATGGCTGCCGATCCACCAATCTCAAATAAGTCAATGAAGCAATGAAATTAAGAAGACTGAAGCATAAGCTGCCTCTGGTTTAGTCAATTTCAACCCCAAGGGAAAGGTTGAAATGCTCTTGAAGGGTGAGGGGAATTGTTGAGGAAGACATTGCTTTTTCCTAATTTTATTCAGCCTTTTAAAAAGGGTTCCACAGTCTCTGATTCAGTAAAGAGGATAGATACTCAGCCTTTACTGTGTTACATTGAACAAAGCTAATCAAGGCATGGGGGGGGGGAACCATCACCAATGAGGTTACTGACACAGTCCAATAGGGGCCAGTGACCTTTGTACACAATCCAGTGGCTGTTGTCCTGAAACAGTTCCAGCAAGGAGAAAACTGGGTTTGGCTGGTTCCCACATTGTGCCTGATGACCCAGACTTGAGTTCAGTTTGCCATTGTCTGGTAGCACCAGCCTCATCATGTCTACTTAGCTTGGAGGTCCTATTGCTCAGATGGTTGGGTTCCCTCCAGTCTCAAGATGCATTTTTTCCCCAGACCAGGATTTATATGCGGGCCAGAGAACACATCCTTTAGCTTGGGTGCAGCATGAGTTAGCCCTACAGACCTTTAAATAATAATAATAATAATAATAATAATAATAATAATAATAATAATAATAATAGCAGCAGCAGCAGCAGCAGCAGCAGGTGCTTTGTTTCAGACTCCTTTAGCTATGGATGATGAATTTCCAGCGCCATTTACAAAGTCACTTGGAATGCGGATGTGACCTTCTGCTGCCAAGTGCAAAGAACAGAAGCATCTCGCAGTGGGCTTGTCCTGCAGCTCTTATCCTTAGTTTTGAAAAATGCCTCTGCATCAGATTTAACCCCTCTTGGCCTTTTGCCATTTCATGGGCAATCAAGTTGCTTCCCATCATTGCAACTGACTTCTCCCTTTAGGCCAGTTTCACAGCTGCCTGTTCTCAGCGCTGTGCTTCTGTCCTTCTGGATCCAGTTGTGGCTACCCCGTGCCTTGAGAGTTTCTTATGTCCCCTTCAACTAATGTCTGGTAGGAATTTGAACCTGTCCAACCACTCAAGCCACCCTCATGCCTGGTTTTTGTTCTGTTTTGTTTCTTGCTACATACAAAGCCATCTCCCTGTCCATCCATCCTTTCCTGGACCACTCAGACTGGAGATGCACTATTTTGCATGTAGGGTTTTGGCGTCAGTCTCCTAAAGAATTGTCCTTATTAAAGACATGCAAATGTTTTTACAAGACTTCTCAGAAGTGGGGTGCCCTGAAGCTGTGACTTAGTTTAGATAGAACAGAGGTTATGATATTTGGAAACACTGAAGTTCTAAAGGGAATTAAGGTAATATTAACTGACCATGAGGGAAGTTTTGAAGCCCTTTTGGACCCTTTATCATTATTTGAAGTATACTGAGATATTCACACACCTTTCTTCAGTTGCATCTTATCCATAAATTATCCTCTCCTCTGGGTGCAACCAAGCGAGCCATGTTAACTTGTAACCCTATGGGTGGACTAGTGCAATGTGCTGACGTAAGGGCTGCCCTTGAGGACAACTTGGCGGCTGTTTGCCTTCTTACAGGTACTAGGCATCATGAGCATTTTATACTGGTATTATAGATAACTGATGGCTATAAGTTTGCTTGGAGGGAAGGCGTCATGGTATAGCCCAATCTCAGCAGATCTCAGCAGATCTCAGCAGATCTCAGCAGATCTCAGCAGCTAAGCAGGGTTGGTACTTATAAGGGGGACCACCAAGGAAAACTCTGTAGAGCAATGCAATGGCAAACCACTTCTGCTTCTCACTTGCCTTAAAAGCCCCTTGCTGGGATCACCATAAATTGGCTGCGCCTTGACGGCGCTTGACACCCACACACGAGTTTGCTTCTATTAAGTGCCATTCCCCCCTCCGCCCCTGTAAAGCATTTCAACCTGACCCACATATATGAAGGACCATCTCTCCCGGTACCAGCCTATATGCCCGCTTAGACCTTTCCACCAACCGTTTTTACTTATCAACTTGACCACAGCTGCATCCACATTGCATTGCTGCCACAATCACTGCAGTGAGCAACTGGATTTTCCTGTCCGGACAAGACAATCCACAGCAATTGCTGCCTCAGGAGACAGGGCCAACCACAAAATGGCAGGGAGAGTTAGGCAGAACTCTCATAAGAACTCTTCAGCATTTATGGCAGGAGCCCTGTCCAACACAAGATGCCTTTCAATCTGCACAGCTGATCTGATCTCCAGTGGCCAATCAGAAGCCCTGCTGGGTTCTAGCCCCACCTGGCCCTGCCCACTTTTAAAAAACATCTGACCAGCACAAAGAAAGGTGCTGGCAGCTGCCAGGGCACCCCTAGGCACCACCACGTAAGGGCCTGCAGGCTAAGGTAGACCATTGGCATGACTCAGTGTGAAGCACCTTCATGCTATAATCTTTAAAGTAAATTCTCAGTTCCTCTCTGGGCTCTTCTCTGCCTCCATGCTGGAGTATTTTAATTTTAATATATATATTAAGGAACAGAGTGTGTGTGGAGGGGAGGGCTTTGCACCACTGCACTGCCTTCAACAAGATTCCTTGTTAATTTCATCTGCCCTTTGGAAGATAAACTCAGACATTTCATGATCCCAGTACTTCATTATCTCCCCCCACCCCACCCCACCCCGGGGAACACTTTTCGCCAACTGATGTATTGCAAGAGTATGGGTGCAGATGCAAACAAACAAACAAAAATAATTAAAAAACAAAACCAAACCTTGAACCCTGAGATTCCGGGAGGACAAAATGCATCCAAACGGCAGAGGCAGACAGAAAAGCACCGCCTCTCTTCATGTGTTTCTATAGCCTGGCTTCCAGCTCAGAATGGGTAGAAAAGCCCAGGAATTTGGAGGAGGGGGTGAGCCTCTTTCCAGCCCCCCTAGTAGATGCAGCCCTGGCAGACTGAGGGGGAGGGGGCTGTTCTCTTACCTTCAGAGTGATGTGATAGGGTGAGCAGGCTAACACAGGAGGCGCCAATGCCTGAGCCAAAGACCGTGATACGCAAGGGGTCACCACCAAAGAAGACAATGTTTTCACTGATCCAACGCAGCGCCTGGATCTGGTCAAGCAGCCCGTAATTGCCCTTGGCAGCCTGGTCCCCAGTACTCAGAAACCCTGTGGGCAAGCAGACGGTGATCGTGTGAGAGGTCACCAGGTCCAAGATGACTCAGACCCATCCCCACCCTCCCTCCTCCCACACAGGGCATGCAGCCAGTCCCTTTGAGGCAAAGTCCCATAAAAATCTGTTAGCAGTAGCTAAAAATGCCCTCAGGAGTACAGCTCATCCAGTTGGGACCCTGAAGTACAGGAAGGGCTGAGGCACAGGGGTCTCCCCTGGCAGACCGGGGAAGTCCTTTTCAGGTCCACAATGATGGAAGGGTCCCAGGTCAGTTCAGGCTGACTACTGGAGCCAGCTGTGAGGGAAGAAGGGCCCCTCAGCCTTTGCTGTGGAGCGTAATGTATGAGCCACACCGCTGGTTTAGTTGGCTATTTTCTGCACCTGCCCAGCCATTAGTGGCAATCGGGTCATCTTGATTGAGCATCATAAGCACAGCCTGCCATCTTGCTCAGCCCATATTCAAAAGGTTTGCAGTGGGGGAGCTACTGAAAGCCTATTACCCACAGGCAGGGACAGAAAGAATCCGTCTGCAAGCAGAGGGCAGAATATACACGGCATCCTCAGTGTGACTCCACAGGGACGTCTCCCCCACATTACGGGAGTTTTGAGATACTTGATAATGTTCGATTCGTCAAGCATCTTGAACGTTTGCTTTGTTCCAAGCTTCTCTCAATAATGTTTAGTAGAGTGGCACATAAATTTTTAAAAGCGTAAAGAAGAAACTAAGGCCAGCCTCACCCTCCTTCCTTGTGATGTACCGGAGGGAGGGGGAATCAAAGCATTTTTGGAGTTGGGCCATTTTTTTTAGAGTTCCCACTGCAGACTGAGAACAGTATCGCAAATTGCCTCCAAGCACAGCTAGGAGCACTCCGGCACTCACAAAGTCAGAATAGGCACAGTCCCCCTTCTGCCACTGAGGGAGCATACCCCACATGGGACCAGGATACTGGGGAGGGAGGTAACAGAGAGTGCTCCAGGCCAGAATGGCAAAAGAATCCTCCAGCAAAGTGGACAGATCCTGCCTGGGGTAGGAGAAGCCCTCCCAACCCACTCTGTGGAGCGTTGTCCCAGGGAATCGGTAAAGCGGCCCCAGAGGGCTTGCCTATCCGTTTCCAGAGGCAGTGTGGCCGCACCCTTGCGGGGACATGGAATACTCCCGTTGGTGCAGCTCATTAGCGGCACTCGCCAGGCAGCGCAGGAGGAGGAGATGGGTAAACATGGTTATTCAATATTTAACTGCAGATCAATATTTGCTCTCCACTGTGCCAGGATGTGCAAATGAAACAGAATTCCCAAGCAGGGACCGCAGCTAAGCTGCTCGGCTGGGCTTTGGTAAGCGGGAAAATTATGCTGGAGATAAGGTATAAATGGGTAAGAGTGAGGCCAGAAGGAACTTTAGTGTGGAAATGATCACGTACAGATTGGGGGTGGGATTAACACCCACAACCCAGCATGGGGCAATTTTTGACAGGCACAGATTTGTCTTAGTATGTCAGCAAGGCCAAAGTCAAGAAACTAGAAAGGGGCAATGTTCCACTACCAGGTGGGCCACCCACCCTGCAGGCCAGCCAAGGTCTCCTGCCCTGCTCATGGAGCTGTGGGTCAGAGCAGCTCCAATACTTGCTTCCCAGCCACCTCATGCCGCTTCAGGGTTGCCAGCCTCCACGCGGGGCCTGGAGATCTGGAATTAACAACTGAACTCCAGACTACAAAGCTCAGTTCCCCTGGAGAAAATGGCTGCTTTGGCATAACACCTCCTTGAGATGTCCCCTCCCCAAACCTTGCCCTCTCCAGGCTCCACCCCCAAATCTCCAGGAATTTCCCAACCTGGAGTTGTTAACCCTACATCACTGTCTAGCAGCAACTCTGGCCCCTGCACCCCCAGTCCAACTGGTGTCTTTGGCTCCCTACCGAGCACTCCAACACGGTAGTTGAGGGTGATGACGATGACGTTGCCATAGCTGGCCAGCACACTGCCGTCAATCATGTTGCCTGTCCCTTCCATGTATGAGCCACCGTGGATGTACACCATGACCGGCTTGGCTCCGCTGTCTCGGATGTCTGCAAGGGGGAGAAGCTAGAGAGAGGACTCTGACAGAACTTCTTGGGTACCTCCAGCCCACTGGGGCCGTTTGTGGGCAGTTCCTTGCAAGGGGTTAGGGAGGAGGTGTTGTCCACTCATAGCACACACCCGCGCACATGTGCGCGCTCACACGCACACACACACACAAGACCCAGCCAACAGAGACCCAAGGCCATTCCTCAGCCTGGGAATTTCCAACTTCTTGGGGGCAAGCACAGCTCCCTCCCCACACAGCAAGGCAGCCAATGTGAGAAGACCCTGAGGGCTTGCAGGTGTCATGGGCCAGTCAACACCCCCCTTTCCAAGCCAGGCCCAGTGGAAGAACACACCCAACACTGGTCAAACAGAGACTATAGAGTCAGGGCCAAGACAGCACCTCAGAAAGCGTTTGCAATTGTGTCTCCTGAGCGGAGGTGCAAAGTGGCTGGAGAAACTGAGCAGGAAGAACCAGCTCATGTTCTGCCCCTCTAGAAGACTCCACAGTCTTGAGATGCTTATGCCAATCACAGACGTATAAGAGGAGTGTAGGGGGAGTAGGTTATGGGGAACGCAGAGACACTGTCCCCTCTTGATGGGGATGAAGGGATGCACTGGGAGGGTAGAAACAGGCAGGTATGCTGTAGGTCTCAGAGGTGGAAGGAAAGGGCTGGAGGGGTTGGGCTATCTCCTTCTGCCAAGCAAAACTCCTTTTCTCCCCAGATCCCTGCCAGCAAGGGGACCCTTTTTGGTTTGTACCAGCTAGATCCTGTCTTGCTCAGTCTTCATCTCTTTCCCCCCCCTCTCTCTCCTTCTCTCCCCCTCCCTCTTAGCAGGTGCTGCCCCTGAAGAACTACATGCCCACCTAGGGCAGCCTGAACTGGGAGGTGGGAGGCTTCTGTGTGCCTCCCCCACCCCAATAAGGAGCCCCTGCCCCACAGTACTAATCAGGCCCACTCCAGCAGCACTGCCTAGCCACGCTGGGCCCGTGTTTCCAGGTTGCCAAGGTGGGCCGGGCTCACCAGACCCCATCTATACACAACTGTGCCCTGAAAGGCAGAGGGCAAACAGCCAGGTCCACACATCATCCCAAGGATGGACTTTCTGTCGACAGGGAGAAGGTGCTTATCACATCCTCCATATCAACCTAGGAAAGCCCAGTAAAATCCTGAAGAAGTTGGGCAACCAAAAGACCCCATGTGGGTGTAGCCAGACACCCATTCCTGACATGCCCAGTGACCCAGCACAGCCACAAAGTTAGCACATTAGCAGAGAAGCAGTGGCATGCATGGATCTGCCCTTGCAAACAAGAACACCGGCTAAGTACACTCGTCAGTATTTAAAGAGCCAAAAAGGCTCCGGTAAGGTCACAGCTCAAGGTGGCTGGACAGGGGGGAATCTGTTTTGCCTGGAAAGGCCAGGTGCTGGGAGGGAGCAGAGAGCAGGGAAAGAATGCCAAAGCCCGATCTTCACCACTCCTGACCCCCAGCAGCTCTTGATGAGTCCAACCTCTGCCCTCTGTTCTGCGTGCTAAATTGACAAGATGTCATTTGGTTTTCAGGCACAAAAAATGATAAAACTATGAGGAATCCCACTGCTCCCACAATGCTTGCTGCCAGTAATGTGGACAGGTGGGGGACTTCAGCCAAAGATGCAAGCTCAATGGGCTCCCATACTCCTACCCCATTGCATTAAGGGCTTCCTTTAAACAGCCTCTCCTTTTGACCCCTCCATGGTACAGAATGTTCCCACTTGGCTTTCCTTCCCTCGACTCTGGAACTCTGGGGAGACAGAAGGACTCCTACATTGACCTCTCAAACCCCAGCTGATGCTTCAGTGCCCTGACAGGGGTTGGGAACACCTAGGGATTTGCTTCAGGGACAAAACAGCTGCCTAATGGGAGTGAAGCCATCTCAAGGAAGACAGCTAGGACTTTCAACGGTTTCTTCCTGGCATTTGCTGCATTCACAGTTTCTTGAGCTGGGTCTGGATGGCATTTCCCCAAGGTTCTTAAATAATTCTGATAAGAAGTTGTTGATCTCCTAACAAAAATGCATCTGACAAAGAGAGCTGTGTTTCTCGAAAGCTTATACTACAATAAAGTTTATTGGTCTTAATGGTGCTACTGGGCTTTTTGCTTTTTAACAATAATATGCAACTGAAATCAGCCTCCTTGAAGATCCTGAAAGACTAGAAATAAGCAAATTTAACACCAATATTAAAAGAGGTTTCAAGGGAAAGCAGGGAATTATGGACTAGTTACCCTAACGTTTGTCCCAAATAAACTGGTGCAAACCAATATCAAAGACAGAATTATTAATTATACAGAAGAACAAGAGGATAGAAGAAGCCAATTATGTTAGGAATAATTGGGAAAGAGACTCAAAACAAAGTGTGTATTGTAATGCCACTATAGAGATCTAAAGTGCAGAATATGCATTTGGAATACTTGGGTACACTTCAGGTTTCCCCCCATCTGCAAAAGGATATTGTAGAACTGGACCCAATGCAGAAAAGGGAGACCAAAACAATTACAAGGAAAGGCTTAAAAATCTGGAGTATTTTAGTTTATGTATTTTAAGATAGACAATGAAAGGGGAACATTATAGGTCTACACAATTACCCATCATGTGATGGAAGTGGATGCCAAGAATGTTTCTCCGAGAAACAAAAGAAAATGTTTCACACAATGCATAATTAATCTATGGAATTCACTACTAGAAGATGTGGTTGTGGCCTCTTAGTCTTTTTAAAAGGATTAGACAAATTAATGGAAGATATTCTATTGTTCACTTTTAAGACCATTTTGGATAGATGGAACGTCCTTGTTCAGAGGCAGTGTACCAGTTGCTGCAGAGCAGCAGCAAGGGAAAGCTTTTATTGCCTTCAATCTCTGTGTGCCTTAGGGGAGCATCTGAGTGTCCATTGTAGGAAACGGCAACCTCAATGAACTTTCAACTGATCCAACAAGGCTCTTCTTCAGCTCCAACTCCGAGGCTGCTTTTCAGATTAACAGGATGAGGCTTTTTATCCACCCTCCACGTAGCAGCTGATCAACCACTTCACACAGTCCTGGCTGGAGCTCTCTTGTTATGCAAACGCGATGCCCATCAATCCAGAGAGATGCTTATCTCTTATGATACTGATGGAAGGGGGTGTGTGGAATGAGTTCTTTTGTGTTCTCCAGAGAGCAAGTTAACACACGAGGAGTGGGCTGCTCCATCACCAGTTGGTCCCATTTGGAGGCAGCTCCGTGGCATGAGGGGGAACGAATCTGTGACACCTGCTTACATAGTAGCTGTCTCCCGTAAGTGAATGGGCTAATGCTGTTAAAAAGATAATCACAAATCAATCTGGACCATTCCACATGTGATTGCATTCTCCTAACAAGTTGGCCACTGCCCCAGTACATTCTGCAGTTCAGAAACATCCTGAGGGCTTCGCAGCAACTCACAGGCTAGGGGGAAGCCCCGGGGCAGTCTCTGACCTCTCCAACACCCTCAGCACAGCTCACAGTCATGCTGAAGGATGACTTCCTCTGCCACACTCCGGGGGCTGTCCAAGCGGCTGCACAGGCACACCTACACCAGAACGGTAGTGGCACAGAGCTGCCCATTCTCTTTACGAGACAGCACCCCTTCTCCTAGAGATTTCCTCTGATGGATGGAGTGACTGCTTTCCTATCACACCTGCCTGTGGGAGAAGAAAAGGGGTGCCTGCCTGCCCCACCTCTCAAGATCAGCAATGCCTTGTAGGGTGTATGCAGTTGCCCCTCTTGCCAGCAGCCCTGAGGAGGCACTGACCAACACTGCCTCCAAAAGGGAACACGGTGTATCTGAGGGGTTCAGGTTTGGCACCCAGGCACCGTTGCTTGTTCTAGGGAGAGGCCAGAAAGCACAGCACAGAGCGGCACCAGCCTCCTCCCTTCCAGGGTTCAGCCTAATTCCCAAGAGTGGCCAAGAGAGAGAAAGAGAGAGAGAGAGAGAGAGAGCACATGAGCAACAGGAAAGGCAGTGAGAGAGAGACACGTCAGCAGCAGCAGCAGATTCTGGGTGCTCCTTGTCTGAGCCTGGGCTGCCCCCGTCCCACATGCATGCCCCCTGCAAGCCGGCAGGCCCCTTGGCCTTCGGGAGCCCAGGGCCACCCTGTGTGTGGTGGTGATGGTGGTGGGGAATCCGGAAGGGGAAACGTCTTTGGTCCAAATAGTTTCTTTCTGATCAGTGGTGGAGAAGAATGCTGGCGGGAAAGACGGAGCTGCGGGCCCCTTGCCTCGCTTCACTACCTGCTCCCCGTGCTGCCCAAGAGCCCAGCCCATTCCCCCAAGCGAGAGAAGGCCAGCAAGCCCCTAAGTGGCCGTACCACAGCTCCGTGCCCCCTCCCCCCTCTCCCCACCCCCGTGGAAGAGGAGGACGAGGCTCAACGAGGGTCACCATCCCCTTCCCATGCAGCCGCTCGGTAGCACAAGGAGACAGAAAGACACAAAGAGCTGGGGACTTCCCAGGATGGCAGCAAATGGAGAGCGCACATGAGAGAGCGTGAGAGAGCGGGTTCATGCAGCAACAGCCACCTGGCGCACACAAATACCTTCATCTTCATCCCCGTCATTATCCGCTAAGTCCTCGCCCTGTTTCTTAGCGCTGGAGCCTGGGGACCAAACATGAGGAGACAAAACAAAAAAAGAAAGAGAAGAAAGAAAAACAAAAACAGGAAGAAAAAAAGAAAACAAAAGAGAATTCAAAAATAGCATGATTGCAGAGAAGGTGGGCACGTTACCTGGGCAGCGCTCGGGATCCGCTAAGCATAAACTTGCCCCACTGACCTCCAAAAGCAGCACTGGGGGGGGGACTGTCCATGGCGGCTTCCCTTCCCCCATTCCCGGGGGTGCGGGTAGCATGAGAAAACAGGACGAAGCAGCCTTTCTGTTTCATGGGGTCCATCTGGACGGCAGGCCTGAGGAAGGTGGGAGCTAGACCCCACACGGGGCTCTCCAGCAGCCAGCCTGCGGTCCCTCTCTTCCTGTGGGGGAAACACCAGGACTGGCAGCCAAGGTTAGGATGGCACCTTGACAATGTCAGCCGACAGCTCCCAAGAAACTGATGCTAAGGAAGTGGCACAGTCGCCTTTGCTTAGGGAGGCAGCACGGAGTGGTGATTTGTGGGCAACGGGGCATGCTGCCCTGTGGTCAGGCTGGGGAGCTAAATGCACTCAGAGTAACTGTTTACTTGCACACATGTGGTGGGGAGAAGACCCTTGACTGCCCATTGCTGCAGGGTTTGGACACTGTGCACGCACAATTCCAGTCTCGATGTGTGGACCTCTCTGGGGTGTGCATATGTGTATGCACGTCAGTGTGAATGTGCTCACATGCATGTGACAAGAGTAGGCTATCCTAGAAAGGGACAGAGGGCCCAGCATCCCACCTCCCCAGAGTCTCTCTGTCCATCTCCTCGTTATTCACCCCTTGGGTGTCTGTAATGCTCGGAAGAGACAACACTTAGATTTGGCAGCAAAGGACACATGAAATCTGCCATCAAGGAAAAGCATTTAAATTGCTGTCCCTTCAAGGAAGGCAGGCAAGTGGCTGTTTAAAGGAATCAGGAAAGCGCCAGCCACTTCTCCAGACTGGCACCTGGCAAGTTAAGGGAGGGCTCTTGGCAAGTGGGTGCTCGCAATGCCAAGAATGGCTTTTAGGCTTGACTGCCTCTCTCCTGAACATTCTTCGTATGCTCTAGAAAGCTGTGAGAAGCAATTATACACCCTAATCAGCACAGCATCTTAATTCACGTCCTAATTTTTTTTTGGGGGGGGGTCCTTTTTGACTGCATCCTTAGAAGACCTCCCCCACACAGAGCAGTTCCCTAGCTTCCTCCTCCTGAGCTAGCCCAAACTTTCTGAATAAAGACAGCCAAGGTGGTTCTCTGCCTGAATTGGCAGTGCTCACAGGAGACAGCTGGAAGCAGACCCCTGGTTAATCTGGCAGCAGTTGCTTGCTTGAAAAATACACGTTGAAGGACGTTCAATGAAGAACTGTTACGACAGAAGAGCCATGAACAAGTACAGTCCGTGAGGCTTCTGCCCAGAACTAACCTACCGTCGTAAGCTTCTAGGGACCAGTGATCTCCCCCCTTCTACCAGGAAGGCAGACAGACAGAAGGCAGTGCAAGGCCTTAATCTCTAGGTTTAAAGATCCACACAAGAGCAGAGGCCAGCACGCCTCCACACACACTCACTCACTCACTCACTCACACACACTCACACACACACACACACACACACACACACACACACACACACACACACACACAGAGGTCATGGTGACTTCAGCCCCACTGCCCTGGCTGGAGGAGGCCACCTATGCCAAACCGCATATAGGCTTTGAAGCAAACCACATTTTTTTTGGTATTTTTGCATTTGTGTGTGTGTGTGTGTGTGTGTGTGTACGCATGCTCCCATCCAAATACTTGACAGGGTCGGCCCTGCTTAGCTCCCGAGATCTGAAAGTCTCGGCAACCTCTGGCGACTCCTACTGGGGCACAGAGGACATTCAGAGAAGTGGCCTGATAGCCTGCCTCTGGCCTCCCAGCCCTGGTATTCTCTGGAGGTCTCCCATCCAAATACTTGACAGGGTCGGCCCTGCTTAGCTCCCGAGATCTGATGAAATCGGGCTTGCCGGGGCTATCCAGGTCAGGCCGCAAACCATGGTGATTCTTCAGGCTGCAGACAATCAGGGCCAGAAACAGGCCAGGGTAACACCAAAGGTGCTTTCCATTACCAGAAAGCTGCACAAGAAGGGCTGGCTGTCTGCCCCCAAAGTCTGCATGTCTCATCCCACGCAAGGGGACCTGTGCAGGAGTGGCCACGAGGCAGGCACTAAGACTCCACAAAGTCGGAGGGAAGGAGATAGGCTGGGGTGAGAACAAAGCCTTGCCTGGACCAAACAAAGCTCTCCTGTCTCTGCTCGCTCAGATTCCAGGCCTGCATGGTAACCATGGAGACCAAGGCAGACTCTGTATTTCCCATTCAGAAGCACAGAATCTCTCCCCCCATCACCACCACCAGGGCCCTCTGTCCTGGCATTGCTGGGGACAACACCCTCTTCCTGCCTCTGCTCCCTACCCCCACCCCAGGTTAGAGCTGCAGAGGCAGTAGAGAAATCCATGGGAGGTGACAATCGTGTGTTTCCCTCCCCCTCTTCACCATCCCTCCTCAAATCTCCACACCCACCCACAAGCTGTGCCAGCACATGGGTCTGTGTGGTCGGCTCCAGAAGAAGCCAAGGGAATGCAGGAATTAATTCTCAAAGCTTGCTGTGTACTACAGCAGGGGGAGAGAGTGAGAGAAAGAGAGCCACTCTGGGGGACTGGCATTTTGATGGGCCTGACACTGCCATGGTGCTGCTGCCTCAGAACTGGGTTGAGAGGAGGAAAGGGGGCAGCAGCAGCTGTACCAGCAGACACGAAGGGCCCAGGCCTGTGCAACCTGGGAAAGATGGACTGACACCACCAGAACCTTCTGGTGTATTTTGAGCAGTGACATATGAGGCACTGGAAGGGCAAGAGGAAGCTATCAGACTTGTCAAGAGGTGTGACCCACACCTCTCATTGTGTGGGCCCAGGGCCTCAAGAACTGATCATTCCCTTGGCATCCAGAGTTGTCTCTGTGTGTATTGGAGGGTGCATACCCTCTTTGGGAGTGGGCAGAAAGAAACAGTGCAATGTCAAAGTCCCTTGCCAAGAACTGTGGTTAACACCCTTGCCCTTCCCCAATGTGAACACTAGAAGATGACCGATTGATGCCGGTTAGTATAACGTGTCCACACCCCTCCCACATAGCCAGAAGAAGGGTATTTGTGTGTTTGAATGCTAGTCATGTAGGAGGTGACTCTTTAAACAGCTCTCCTGGATACTTTGGTTTTGGCACACACTGGTGGGTAAGTGCAACCAGAAAGCTCTTTGGCTGGCACAGGACTTCTTTGTTTTTTTTTCCAGCTTGCGGACTGATAAGCAAGACATGCAAATCTTTAAAGAAAGAAAAAAATCTTTCCAGAACAGAACACATGAGAACAAAGAGTACAGGAAGCAAACTGGGCATCTTGGACAGACCCTAGCCACCAGAAGGCTTCTGCCAGGCCCCACAGTCAGAAATGTTAGTTAGCCAAGATGCAAGAAATCTGTGTCACATTTTTATCTTACTTTTCCTCCCAGGAGCTCAGGGTTGTTTACGTAGCTCTCCCTTCCTCTGTTGTATCTTACCAACCACCCTTGTGGTTTTGGGGGGGGGGAGTGTATGACTGATCCAAGGTCACCCAGTGAGCTTCAGAGAGCCTAATGAGGATCTGAAGCCCAGTTTCCACCAGTCCTAAGTCCAGTCCTGATCACTGCACTGTACTGCGCTGGCTCTTGATGTGCTCACTATCTAACCCAAAAAGGGACAGGCACAAACTCTCCCTCCTTCACTAAGGTCTTCACCTGGTGCCTGTTTTGTTAACCATCCTTAGTCTTGGCAGGAAAGGCAGAATATAAATGAATTAAGTAAAGAAATAAATCAAGGTGAAGGAAACCTTTTTTGGGGGGGGGGTTCCTCTCTGTGTGTGTGCGTGTGTGTGTGTGTGCATACACATGCCTTGCCCTCAAGGAAATGAGGAAGCAAATGACTCTCTTGTGAGGCTTAAAGAGGCATGGGGGAAGCACATCTCTCCTGTGTGTGTGCGCACGCGCATGAGAGCATGCCTCCCCCCCCCTTCCTACTGGCACACAAAGAAGCCATTTTGAAAGAACCTGAACAGGCAAGCAGGCTATCCTGGAACAGCTTGGCTACTGGCCCTATCCTGCCAAGTAATAAGGACAACTTATACACTGGGTGCAATTGTAGAACAAGATGTCATCTGGGGCCACCCCATCTCTCTGCAGAACACACCATTATGTATTTTAACTGTGGGCTTGAGGAAAACAAACCCACCCAGCCCCACTTCCGGGCATCTAACTATTCCCTGAAGAATTTTGAAAAATGATCTCTTCTACACCTCTACAGATAAAGAAAACCATTATTTGCAGCCACATTGTCCCCACAAGATAGAGAAGGAGGGACTGCACCAATTTGGTTTCCTTTATAATTTAAAAAAAATCCCATTAGTAACTTCCAAGCCACGTCTCTCCCCCCAGTCCTATCTCAGTAGGAGTCAGTGGGTAATTAAACTTTCTCTTAATACAAATAAATCACCATATGCTGATGAGTTGTCACCCCCCCCATCACTCCTCCCCCCCCATCAAACTGTTCTCATGACTAGACCGATCATTACAAGAACAATTAGCAGCACAGAGTAATGACCACACCATCTCTCGGGTCTAGGCTGAGATGGAGCATCTCTGTGCATGCACCTGGACACATGGGTAGCAGCATCAAAGTTAGCATGTCCAGCAAGGGGGTCGCTCAGGTCATCTTTCTACTATGTGCTCTCTGGTCTCTGCACTAAGCCTACAGCCCGCCCCATTCAGCAGAGATGCCACAAGATGCTTTGTCCATAAATGGGGTATTTCTGTGCATAATTGAGTATGTTGTACATTTAAGGACCCCAAAAGGGTCCTGCAAAACTTGTTTCCTATACGTCTAAATCCAAGAGAAGTAACACTCAAGCTCAACTCTGTGTTGCGGCATCCTCTGAAGGAGACTTTTTAGGCACCATCTCAGCTTTAAAGCTGTACCTGTCTGGTCACAGCTGGTGGGCACATCCGAGGGACTTAAACCATAAGCCTCCACCCTGACTTGGTTGAAGGGTAATGGAAATATCCTGACAATATCTTTTACCCAAGCATTCTCCATCTGGAAGCTGGCACTCCATCATTAAAGCTGAGCCAAGCACTTGCCAAGTAGGAAGGAACAGGGTGTGCAAGCTATTCTGGAGCTCTGTGGAGCCATGCCAATTTGGGAGGTGATTGAGGGACCAAAGATCACTCTGAGGGCTGGCACTGGGAGACTCTCAGTTCCTCCCCTCCACGGTGGGTTTGGATGGGGCCTAAAGAGCCCTGGGAGCAGGGCAAAGTCATTGGAGCGGCTGGTTGTTGGCACCATACAAGACAGAGTGGCCTGCTCAAGACCACGTGGGCCCCTACGGGGCAGTCTCGGTGCTTGGAGAGAACCCCTAGGTATAGGTAAGACAGAAAGCAACTGGTACAGCAAACCAAGGGGCCCAAAGAAGAGGAACCAGCAAAGGGGCAGCCAGCTAGCATTCCTCAGAGTCAGCTAAAGAAAAGAGGAAGATGCTCATAGAAGCGCAGGACTAACCAGTAGTGGGATCCATGCTGTACATCTATCCTGTAATAAGAATAAGGAAGGGACCATTCAAAGGGACCCCAGAAGCAGGGTGGACAAGGAGGAAGCTGTCTCAGGGGTGTACGTGAAAGAAAGAAAAGGCAGGTGGGTGCAGCTCAGTGCATAGGTGTGTCGGGGCATGTACGCACACTGAAGGAACTTGAACCAACCGCTCTATGCAGAAGCAACACCAGGGCAGAGATGGCACACAGAGACAGGCAGTTCCCATGGCAACTAGAGACAGCCATGTTCTGGCCACAGACCCTACATACAAAGTATTGGGGGGGGGGGAAACGACACCAGCAAGGCACCATTTTGTTCGGACACATTTCAGCAGGCCCTCAAACAAAGTCCCAGAGGCAGCTGTTCTTTCACCTCTGTGAAACCTCTTCAGGATGCCACCATACAAATGGATTAGCAAAAACGGGTTCCACTGACCAACGTTTAAAGACGGAAGCTTGGCCCTGCCAGTGGGAAGGGGAACGGCAGAGACAGGCAGAGACACCTCACTTCTCTGACCATCCCAAACAATTCAGGGATGACTGTGCCTAGCTGGGAAGGCTGGAGATCCTACAACTTTTTGATTCTCGCCAGAGTGGGAAATCTCCCCTTGTACCAAAAAGGGAGCAGCTCAGGAAGCTCCCAAGAGGCCAGCTCAGCTCGCTGGCCAGGCAGATGGGAAGACAGAGGCAGACAGACCCGCGAGGAACCCCTTCGGGAGGCCCTCCACCTCCCCCCGGAGAACAGGGAGGGGGACGCTGCAGCAGCACGGGGGCAGGCCAGGCGCCCCTCGCTCCCACTCTCTCTCTTGCTTCTCTCTGTGCCCCTCTGCCAAGCCCCGGCTCGCTACCTACCTCCTTTCCTACATATTTTCTTGTTGGGCTTTCTGGCGCATTCCTTGGAAATCCGTTTTACTGTAAAATGAATAAAAGACTACAAAATAACAGGAGGCTCCAGGACGGTGTGGGCATGCAATTCCATCCTCTTCCCCACTCGCCCGCCCATCCATCCACCCATCCACCCCCCATAGCCCATTCCCCCAGCCACCCTTCCCGCCCTTGGGACTGACCCGCAGGGAAAGGAGAGGGGGAAGGGGACCGCTGCCCTGGGAGGAAAACTCCAGAGCCAGGTGTGTGCTGGGATGGGAGGGAAGTGCTAAGCATGAACCTCCCCCCACCTGGCCTCTGGGGGAAGGAGGGGAGGGGCAGGGGTTGCCAGCTCTCCCCAGTGCTGCTGCGCAGAGACGGGGCTTCCCCACACATCTCACAAATCCCTACTGGTGGGCTCCCCTCCCCCCTTGTGGTGAGTCTGGTAAGGCCCTCCTGGTGCTGCTACTTACCGGTCAGGAGGGGATCCCCTGGAAAGGAAGCGTTAGAGAATGGCGTCCAGCCTCACCACAAAAGGGCCAGGTCCCACCGCGCTGTCATCCAGGCGGGCCCGGGGCTGCCCCATGCATGCCCTCCTCACTTATCAGGCACCAGGGAGAGAAGGAAGCCCTGCAGCTCGGCCATCTGGGCGGGCGCCGCCGCTGTCTCAGTACGAGAGAGCACGTTCCTCCCAGCCAGTCCCTGCCCCGCCAACTAGCGTATGAATCTTCACAAAGTGGTGGAGGGGGGGGAGGGGGAGACAGAGAAGGGAGAGGAAAGGACAACCCCAAAGCAAACTCAAGACAGAACCTGGCCCTTGGTGGCCCCAAACCAGCCACTTGCTGAGAAGGTCTGAGGTCGGCCGGAGAGTTTTCTCATCTTTTGCAACACAAGAGAGGAGCCCGTGATGATGCCATGGCAGGGGAGGGACGTAATGGGGAGAGGCAGCGCATATGAGAGAGGAAGAGCAGAGAGAGAAAGAGAGAGAGAGAGGGAGAGACAGCAGGAGGGCACAGGGCACAAGCAGAGTGACCAGAGAAGCATCTCCACAAACAGACGGCATGCGTCAGGCAGGGGAGGGCAACGCTGGCATGCTGCAACCGCGTGAGACCAACCACTGAGAGAGAGAGAGACAGAGAGAGAGAGCAACGTGTCCTGACAGCACCCCGCTGGGGACTCACCATCCTCCGTGGGGATGTAGATGTTGAGATACAGGCAGTCCTCATTTGGATCTTGGATGTAGGTGGCCACAAAATCCAGGTTGGAGGTGAACCAGATGGGCAGCATGATCTCGGGCACAGCCGTGTGGATGTTCTGCGGACACACTGGGGAGAAGTGGGTGGCGTTCCGTATCCCTGACCAGGAGGATGGCGGCTCCGGGGGCATGAACCGCTTCTCCCCAACGGGAGGCGCTGCATAGGGCACCCCCAGGTACTGGTCCACAGGGCCTAGGATTTCGCTGGGCAGCGGCACCCGCACTCCACGGAGCTTCCCATAGTGCGTGTTGACAGTGGGCGAATACACCTGGCTCTCCATCTGCACCACGGAGGAGGCGAAGCTGAGAATCCACAGGGCCAGGCGCACCTCCCAGCCGGCAGCTGCGTCAGGCACTTGCAGAAAGGGGAAGAGGAGCGGGCATTGGAGGATTGACCGCCACATGGTCTGGGAAGGGCAGCACTGGCAGCCAGGCCTCAAGCAGACTCCTGGGGCTCACAGGACCCCCATGATGGAGAGGGATCGTCGTCCGCAAGGGGAGCAGGCAGGCAGAGCAATCCTAGGGGTGACGGGGAGGCTTCTCTTCAGAGCCGCTGGGCTGCCCACAACAGCTCCCTTGCAGAAGGAGCAGCTCTTCGGAGAATGGCAGCTCTGTAGGAGAGGGGGAGAAGAGAGATTAAGGGGGGGGGTTAGGAGCGATGGGTTTGGTTGGGGCAGCATCCCTTCCATCAGCCAAACTAAGCCACAGTACAGAAGGCCTGAGAACGTTAAAACACCACCCAAGGAACCCACGGTAGATAGACCAAGACAAGGTGCCGCCAGTGTTCCCTCTAAGCTGAGTTAGTGTGAGCTAGTTCACAGTTTTTTAGCCTCCGGCTCACACATTTTTGTCTTAGCTCAGGAAGGATGGCTCCAGAGCAAACTAATTGATGCAGTAGCCAGATCGGTCGCTCACAACTTTAATGCCAGTGGCTCACGAAGTAGGATTTTTGCTCACAAGACTCCACAGCTTAGAGGGAGCATTGCATGCCGTCCCCATATGGGGCTGCTCCACCCCCACTTTGCCATAGAGTCTCTCTGATCAGAGCTTACAAGCAACAAATGAGTTGGCCTCCCCAAGAACAATGAGATTTTACAGAACCAGAACAGGCACAGAACCCTTGGGAGCAAAATGCCCAACGTGTCATACAGCTGCCCTCCAAAGTAGCCAGGTTGATGTAGCCCAAGACATAAGGAAGTGGACACTCAGAGCACAACCCCACATGCTACAAACTTAAGTTGCTTGAATAGGGACCTCCTCCGCAAAGGAATGTTGGGAACTGTAGTTCTGGAGCAGGAATTTGTCTACTCAGCATCCACAATTGCAGAAACTATAACTGAGAAAGGACATGACAGTTCAAGGGGTTGTAGTGTTGTGAAGGCTGAGAAGTCTCAAACAGGTTAGGGGTTTGGCACATCAGCTATCCTGCTGCTGCTAGAAGCAGGAAACAAGGTAGGATGGGGACTGTCGACCCAGTCCGGGAGATATCTATATAGATGCTGGAAATCTGCCTGGAAATTGCCTCTCTGATCTGCAGGGTCTTACATATGATTGTGCAAGCATTGTACTTGGGATATTCTCAGCTAGTGATGTGGAGAGAAATGCTCAGTTACTGTTAGCCTTGTTTCATATGCTCCAGAGCTAATTCAGTTTAAGCCCCCTAAGGAAGATCTAAGCTAAGCCACCCCAAACAGAATCTAAGAGGTCTGGAAAGTATCAAAGGGAGGCTCCTTCTGAGAAAAAAACCTCAACAAAGCAGCAGCTCCAAGCTAGTCAATTCAACACAAAAGCAGACCCCGGCAGGTTCTTACCCAGCTCATATCTCGTTTGCAAGTTTTACACAGAGGGAAATCTCACTCGCCCGCTGATTGAATCAATATCTACCAGGCCAGCATCCTGGATTGCTTTTTATAGAACAAAACGGGTTTTGTTGTCCATGAGGACTACACAATTGAAGTACTTGGCTTCTTGCATTCAGGTGTCCAAAGACAATCAGCATCTCAGCAGTCTGGCAACCCTTCACCTAGGTTCCCCTCACCTTCAGCATTCTGAGCCAGCCCAAATCAGAGGCTCACAATTTCCATTTTTCTGCATAGGTTTTGGATAAACAGCCTTCCCTTTTAAAGCTCTCTGAGGGCATGAGGTGTCCTATCATGTGTCTTTTAGCATTAAAGATATACAGTTTGGAGACACAAATTAAGAGAAATGATATATTTTAGACACCTTCACCTTAGAGGTTGGAGCTTTCAGGATGCACACAGCTTTTTAGCAGACAATGGCTTGCCTCAAGGCTCATCTTAAAAACCTCCCTCCCATCTATAATGTGGAGCTAACAGAAGCCTGTACTAATTCCTCTCTAAAAAAACCCCTTTTTTTCTAGTTGTTGGTTTAAATTTTAATTTCATAGTGGTGCTATTTTTGGAGAATGGCAGGAACTTGGGTTTCTGTTAGTTTTATCAGACATCTGTCAACTATTCCGCATTGTGTTTACTGGAATTTTGCAGATTTTATAGAATACTGGCCTGCCTTGCAGGGAGGTTAAAAGGTTTACCAAGACAGCGGGTGTGGTGTGCTTTGAGCATCAAGGGAAAGCTCTGTATAAATGCTACTTTTTATTGTTCCCCCCATGGTTGTTACCTACCAAGGAGGATTTCCCTGCCTCCCAAGACCGACCACACTGTGGGGAATTCCTCACACAGCCTCCTGGCGGAAGCACTTGCCCCCTAACTGGCACATTATCCTCCTCGACAGCTGAGAAGCAAGGGAACCAGGTCAGTGTGACACACAGAAGGAAGGTGATGCCAGAAGTCACAGGAGGTGGCCCTCACATGGCCACAGCAGCCCAGGGCTTAGCAAAAGGGAACCTGTCTGAATTATGAAGGGCTGGTGCAGGTGAGAATCTAGAAGGCGTGATTCATGGAGCGGACAGCTAGACCACCAGACCGCTTGGAACGGCAACACTTCCCCTCTCCTTGCCCAGAGTCATTCAGCAGTGCTTCATTCTTACCTAAGATGGAAAGGCAAACCCCTCCCTTCAATGCAAGTCCTGCAAGGAGCCAGGCAAAGAGGAGCCCCCCCCCACCCAGCAGTGCATGCAAACTGAGCCTCCATCATATCGGACCAGATGGGGTTACATCCAATGGTAGCGGAGGCAGGGAGCCCTCCCACCACTCTCACGCCACTGTGGCAGAGCAGACAGAGACTGAAAATCAACTCATGCAGGACCGACTGCAACTGGGACGGCTCTGAGATGTGGGCGGGAGGGAACTTTCACTCCCCCTGAAGGAGGCAAATGACTCTTGGGAGGTGCTCAGGAGGGCTCTGCTGAGCCGGCTTCCAATTACTGGAGCATGAAACAAGGGCCTGCTGCAGAGGTAGCTCTGGGCAAGCTATACTTACTCACATCCAGAGCAACTCACGTGAAACAAAAAAGAGGAGGAGGGATGGAAGGGAAAGGTGCAGCCAAGGAAGAGCTTTGCTCCCAGCCAAGACTGTGCTCACAGAGCTTGCAGAAAACCCAGAGGCACCTCCTCTTCTACTGTAGGGTTGCCAGCCTCAAGGTGGTGACAGGAGATCTCCCGCTATTACAACTGATCTCCAGGTGACAGAAATCAGCTCACCAGGAGAAAATGGCCACTTTGGAAGGGGAAATCTACAGCATTATATCCCACCGAAGTCCTTCCCCTCCCCCAAACTTGTCCTCCTTGGGCTCCACCTCCAAAATCTCCAAGTATTTCCCAACCCAGAGTTGGCAACCCAACTCTGCTGCCATAAGGTTGGCCAGAGAAGCCCAGAGTGCTTCCAAACAGAGGGCTGAGAGAGCACCGAGCGCACCGTATCACTTCCCAGAATTCTCACAAGACGCACAGCATTTGGGCCCATCCAAATGGCGCGGCCCCAGCTAAGTGGCGGCAGCAGTATCAAACCCTCACACTGGCGGGCACCTTTTCCTAGAAAGACCTCCCAGGGGCCCACCTTTGGCTCCGAGCTGCAACTAGAAGTCTGGACACAGTTAAGAGTGTGGAGGCAGAAAGGGTGATGAGCCACAAGATGCCAGCAGGCGACTCCAGCCAAGGGAAAGGGAGCTGGGCCAGCAGGACACACCAGGCAGCACAAGACCAGTGATTGTTCCACTAACTGAGCTAGACTTCCTCTTTCCCAGCAAACTACATTTCGCGGTTTGAGTGTGCAGGAAAAGTCATTTCCCGACAATGAGACTATGTCGTCTGGGTGGGTTAGTGATGGCTGCACCGTCTACTCCAAGAAACCACAGCGTCGGGAGAAGCCCTAAAATGTGGCACCATCTGCAAATTTTACTACTCCACAGTCATTACTTAGTATCCGAAGGGGTGGGGTGGGGAGGAAGAGGTTGACTGTGACGGCCCCTTGCAAGAAGAACCGGCTGTTCAAGCCAGCCCTTTGATTAATATCTTGGCAGCAGGAGTTGATAAACCACAGAAGGATGTTCCTCTTTTAATGCTGCTTTTCCTTAATGTTTCAGAATTAACTTCTCACTGCATATAATTCCAGTAGGAGCACCCATGCTTTCATGTGCCTCCTAGTCCCACATGGCACCAGGTACAACCTAGTGTGGTCTTATGATGTTCAGGTAGAAATGAGGAGACAAATCCCCACTCAGCCATGAAACCCACTGCCATGACCTTGGGTCAGTCACTCTCAAACTAACCTACCTCACAGGGCTGTTGTGAAGGTAAACACAGGGAGGGAGGAACCGCGTATTCCACTCTGAGCTCCTTGGTGGACATGCAGGATTAGAATGTATGATTTTACTCCTCAGCTACAGCTGAAAAGAGCAACCAAGCTCAAGTTTTCCCTGGGCTGCTCAAGGCGGGAACTCCCTTCTTCTGGGCTCACATTAATTTGAGGGATTCCCAAGAAAGACGGCCAGTTAAGGAGGGCCACTTCAGGTTCACTCAGGCACAGAATGGCCTATGGAAAAGAAAGCTGAGTCCCAGATCATGGGTGAGCTCACGATGGCTAAAGTGACGTGCCCAGGAATAAGTCTCCTTTGGATCTCATGTTTTTACATTAAAAAAGCAGCAGGCTGCAAATGTAAACATTGCCAACCATTTGTATGAAACTATGCGCCCCGTTGCCAGAACTGGCCACAGTGGAAAACAGCCTTCAGGAAACAATTATTTTGTTTATTCATTATATTTATATCCTGCCCCTCTTTTTCCAAAGAAAAATGGAGACTGTAGGGTATAGCTGTTGGGCTGGGATCAGGGAGGCCTGGCTCTGAATCTCTGCTCTGCTACAGACATCCACTGGGTGACCTTGGGCCAGTTACTCTCTCTCAGCCTAACCTACCTCGCAGGGTTGTTGTGAGGATAAAATGAAGGCGAGGAGGACAATGTTGTAAGCTGCTTTGGGTCCCTATTAGGGAGGAAAGTGGGGCATAAGTGTCTAAGCAAAAAACAAAAACAAATTCAAAGTGGTTACCCAAAGATATGTGTAACATCAATGGGTGAATGCAGTTCAAGGGAGAGGGCTTGCTTCTCCTGCTAAAGCTGCAGAATTCACTTTGAACCTGGGTCTCCCAGATCCTACTCCAACACTCTAAGCACTATCCCATGCTGCCATTA